CTGGAAAGGTGGATTTTTAGAAGTAGAAGCTCAAACTGTTTGGGCACAGACCTGGATAGTATGATAGAGCTCTGCAGGCTATCTCTACAGTAGATTGCAACTCCACCCCCTTTGGCAGTTCTATCTAGACGGAAAATGTAATAGTTGGGGATGGAAATTTCAGAATTTTTGGTGGCCTTCCTGAGCCAGGATTCAGACACTGCTAGAACATCAGGGTTGGCAGAGTGTGCTAACGCAGTGAATAACTCAAACTTAGGAAGTAGACTTCTGATATTTATGTGCAAGAAACCAAGACTTTTGCGATTACAGAAGTCATCATATGATAGCGCCTGGGGAGTAGGAGTGATACTGAGGGCTACAGGGCCTGGGTTAGCCTCTACATCACCAGAGGAACAGAGGAGGACTAGAATAAGGATACGGCTAAAGGCTTTAAGAACTGGTCTTCTAGTGCGTTGGGTACATAGAATAAAGGGGGCAGATTTCCGGGTGTTATAGAAAAGATTCAGGGCATTATGTACAGACAAGGATATGGAAGGATATGAGTAAAGTGGAGGTAAACCTAAGCATTGGGTAACAATGAAAGAGAGAGCATCAATTGAGTCGGTCTCCGCGTGTATTGGGGGAGGGGCAAAGGAGCTATCTAAGGCAGGTTTAGCTAGGCTGGGGGGTCTACAGTGATATAGTACAATTAGAAATAACCGAAACAACAATAAACTAACCATGTTTGGGCTGAGGCTAAACATAAACAGGATGTAGTACCGTAAAAAGGAACAGTCCAGCAGATATCAGCTGTATAGCTGAGTTATCATAAGGTCCGGTGGTGAAGTACTAGTGAGTAAGAGGCCACGGCTAGCGTGTGCTAGCGGGCCAGGGCTAGCAGATGGATGGAATCTTCGTGGTTAACGTCGTAACCACATCAGACGATTTCGTCGGCAGACCAGTCGTGTAGGATCGGCGGGGCTCCCTGTCAACACTAGGTGGTCCCGTCCGGTTGACAGAGAGGTAGATAGCCGGGAGATGGGCCTAGCTCAGGATGATTAGCCAGACCACAGCGTCCGTTTTGTTGTAGCTAGCTGGCAGGTTTAGCTAGGCTGGGGGGTCGTAAAAAGGAACAGTCCAGCAGATATCAGCTGTATAGTTGAGTTATCATAAGGTCCGGTGGTGAAGTACTAGTGACTAAGAGGCCACGGCTAGCGTGTGCTAGCGGGCCAGGGCTAGCAGATGGATGGAATCTTCGTGGTTAACGTCGTAACCACATCAGACGATTTCGTCGGCAGACCAGTCGTGTAGGATCGGCGGGGCTCCGTGTCAACACTAGGTGGTCCCGTCCGGTTGACAGAGAGGTAGATAGCCGGGAGATGGGCCTAGCTCAGGATGATTAGCCAGACCACAGCGTCCGTTTTGTTGTAGCTAGCTGGTAGCGACGAATCCGGAGTTAAAGGTCCAGTGATTCAGTGATTCCGGCGGAAAAACTGATATGTTCTGGGTCGATAACGCGCTGTGCAGACTGGCCGAATATCCGGTGATCAATGTCCAGTGATTAAAATTAATCCCGCAGAAAAAAAATCCAATGTTCTGGGTGAAACACCGCTAGCTGTGGCTAATAGCAAGTAGCTAGTTAGCTGGCTAGCTAGTTTCAACTGGAGATTCTAGATTCTAGATAAAGGTAAGTCAATAATAGAATCCGTTCCACATTGAGTGAGGCGGGTTGCAGGAAAGTATATCTTGTAGAAGGATGAAAAGTCTGATAGGGAAATATGTACGAAAAATAGGGTATTTACAGGCTATTTACAGACATTTACAGACATACGATAAAAACACAACTGCACTACTCCGCCATCTTGGATGGCACAGGCCGTGCTGGTCCTGTGAGGTGGGCTATCGATGACACAATTCAGGAGAGCCTACAAGCGGAACCAGCCCCTCCAGAAACCCCGGTGTCGAAGGTGTTTGTACCAGCTCCGCTTCGACCTCAACTGATGGAATGGTGCCACACGTCGCTAGGATCTGGTCATCCCGGAATCACTCCCGGAAAATACTGGTGGGATTCCCTCTCAGATGACGTCAGAGACTACGTATTATCCTGCCCGGTATGTGCTCAGTCCAAGGCGCCTCGAGCACTACCGGAGGGTAAGCTGATGCCATTGCCAACTCCTCAACGACCCTGGTCGCACATTGCGATGGACTTTGTTACCGACCTACCAGAATCAGAGGGCCATACTGTAATTCTCGTGGTCATCGATCGATTCTCAAAGATGTGTCGGTTAGTACCCATGACCCGTTTACCTAACGCCACTCAGATGGCGGAGACTATGTTTAACCAGGTGTTCCGGCAGTTTGGTGTTCCAGAGGATATTGTCTCCGACCGGGGACCCCAGTTCGTATCCCGGGTTTGGAAGGCCTTCTGCGAACGCTTGGGCATCTCGGTGAGCCTCACCTCCGGGTATCATCCCCAGGCCAATGGGCAGACAGAACGGCTCAACCAGGAAATTGGGAAGTATCTACGGCAACAATGTTCGCGGCAGCCGCAAGAGTGGAGCCGATTCCTTCCTTGGGTAGAGTATGCTCAGAACTCACTCGTTCACACCTCCCTACGTCTAACGCCCTTTCAGTGTGTTCTAGGGTATCAACCACCCCTGTTTCCGTGGGATACCGCACCCGGGATGGTACCGGCGGTGGACGATTGGTTCCGTCGGAGTGCGCAGGTCTGGGAGATGGCCCATCAACATCTCAGTCAAGCCTCACAGCAGCAAAAGACCTATGCCGACCGACGCCGGAGACCTACTCCCACTTATCAACCCGGGCAACGAGTGTGGCTGTCTACCCGAGACCTGCGGTTCCGACGGAGCTGCAAGAAGCTCCAACCCAGGTACATTGGTCCCTTCAAAGTACAGAGACGTATTAACCCTGTCACCTACCGTCTGTTACTCCCCTCGACACTACAGGATAAACCCTACGTTCCACGTCTCCCTGCTGAAACCTGTTCATTATAGCCCGTTGTATCCACCAATCGCTCAACAACCTACTACACCACCTTTGGAGGATGAACAGGACACCACCTATACAGTCCACGAGATACTGGAGTCAAGACGGAGACGAGGGGGCATCGAATATCTCGTGGACTGGGAGGGATATGGACCTGAGGAACGGTCCTGGGTCCCTGCTAAGGACATACTGGACCCCGCTCTCAAGGCCACCTTCCACGCTGAACACCCAGATCATCCAGGACCCCCGACCCAGAGGAAGACCACCCGGTAGAGGTAGAAGGCCATCAGGAGCCGGCCCTGGGGAGGGGGATACTGTAAGGGATCGGGGGTTGGCTGGTTCTAGACAGAGTCTGACACTTCCCCGATCTACTGAGAGGGGGAGTCATCAGACTCGATCTGGTTCACCTGAGTTCTGAGCACACCTGTCAGTAATTAGTGTAGGATATAAGGTGTGCTCAGAAGCTCAGTCGGCGCGAGGTATTGTTCCATTGTGACTTGCTAAGCGTTTTGTTCCGAGAGAGAGAGAGAGAGAGAGAGAGTTTGTTGTTTTGATTACCCGTGTATCCGACCTGTGCCTTGTTGTTTGACTTCCCGAATTGCTTAATCCTCTGCTTGTCTACCCCAGTGATTACCGTCCTCTGATCCTGTGCCTGTGCCCTCGACTACGACTAGCCCGCTCCTTTGGTACCTCTGCCTGTCTATGCCTTGCCCGGTTTTTGACCACAGCCCGCCCGACCACGATTAAGCTATACCCTTGTCTGTACTCTAATAAAGCATCGCTATTCTGCGATTGGATCTTACCACTCTGTCCGAGTATTCATTACAATTTGCTATTGTCAACCCTACTTTATTGAGTTCTTAGTCATGCAATCTGGCTATTTGCTATTGTCAACCCTACTTTATTGAGTTCTTAGTCATGCAATCTGGCTATTTGCTATTGTAATTGAGACAAATAAACCCAGCCACTGCAAGGTCGAATGAATCCAACCAATCATGCTTTGAATTCCAATAGAGGAGTTGGCCAAGGCTCCCATTAGCTGGTTATACAGAAACACTCTTTGGATTGTCTCTGTCCACTTTGAGGGAATGTACCACCTATTAACTTGCCAACCTCTAATGATGTCACACCGTGTGCTTTTCTGCGCTTGCGGAGCCAGAAGATTCACCTGAAACACCATTATTTTAAACACTCCATTCTCTTCCCTCTGCCTTTGTCTGTGTCTCTCTGTGTCTCTGTCCTAACATCTCTCTGTGTCTCTGTCCTAACATCTCTCTGTGTCTCTGTCCTAACATCTCTCTGTGTCTCTGTCCTAACATCTCTCTGTGTCTCTGTCCTAACATCTCTCTGTGTCTCTGTCCTAACATCTCTCTGTGTCTCTGTCCTAACATCTCTCTGTGTCTCTGTCCTAACATCTCTCTTTGTCTCTGTCCTAACATCTCTCTGTGTCTCTGTCCTAACATCTCTCTTTGTCTCTGTCCTAACAGGTCCTAACATCGCTCTGTGTCTCTGTCCTAACATCTCTCTGTGTCTCTGTCCTAACATCTCTCTGTGTCTCTGTCCTAACATCTCTCTGTGTCTCTGTCCTAACAGGTCCTAACATTTCTCTGTGTCTCTGTCCTAACAGGTCCTAACATCTCTCTGTGTCTCTGTCCTAACATCTCTCTGTGTCTCTGTCCTAACATCTCTCTGTGTCTCTGTCCTAACATCTCTCTTTGTCTCTGTCCTAACAGGTCCTAACATCTCTCTGTGTCTCTGTCCTAACATCTCTCTGTGTCTCTGTCCTAACATCTCTCTGTGTCTCTGTCCTAACATCTCTCTTTGTCTCTGTCCTAACAGGTCCTAATATCTCTCTGTGTCTCTGTCCTAACAGGTCCTAACATTTCTCTGTGTCTCTGTCCTAACAGGTCCTAACATCTCTCTGTGTCTCTGTCCTAACATCTCTCTGTGTCTCTGTCCTAACATCTCTCTGTGTCTCTGTCCTAACATCTCTCTGTGTCTCTGTCCTAACAGGTCCTAACATCTACAGCCAGATTCTGGCGTCACTAAGCGGTGACATCACCACGCCCTTTAACCTCACGACCTCAGGTCATCAGCTTCTTCTGCGCTGGTCCTCTGACCATGGCACCAACAGGAAAGGTTTTCCACGTCAGATATGTGGGTGAGTATCAAAGTATGTATCCTGTTAATAATGACTTTCCTTCAACCAGCATGTCTTCATACACCCCCCTATACCACACAACCAATAGGAGTTATTAACATCATGGCGAAGTAGTCCAGAAATAGACTGGCCATTGGGCAGTTCTGGCAAATGCCAGATGGGCTGGTCCATCTTTAGCCCAGTGGGCCGGTCTAAATCGGGGGTTTTGGGCTAAATGATCATTATTTGTATAATAATGGGTCAGGGAGGACAAAATGGACTGGTTTGTTAGAAATGCACATGCCGATTTCTGATCCCAGTACATCCCTGATCCCAGTACATCCCTGATCCCAGTACATCCCTGATCCCAGTCCATCCCTGATCCCAGTACAATCCCTGATCCCAGTACATCCCTGATCCCAGTCCATCCCTGATCCCAGTCCATCCCTGATCCCAGTCCATCCCTGATCCCAGTACATCCCTGATCCCAGTCCATCCCTGATCCCAGTCCATTCCTAGGCACCGTCCATCTCTCATCCCAACACATCCCTGGGCCCCATCCATCCTTGGGCCCCATCCATCCCTGGGCCCCATCCATCCCTGGGCACCGTCCATCTCTCATCCCAATACATCCCTGGGCCCCATCCATCCCTGGGCCCCATCCATCCTTGGGCCCCATCCATCCCTGGGCCCCATCCATCCCTGGGCCCCATCCATCCCTGGGCCCCATCCATCCCTGGGCCCCATCCATCCCTGGGCCCCATCCATCCTTGGGCCCCATCCATCCCTGGGCCCTATCCATCCTTGGGCCCCATCCATCCCTGGGCCCCATCCATCCCTGGGCCCCATCCATCCCTGGGCCCCCATCCATCCCTGGGCCCCATCCATCCCCTGGGCCCCATCCATCCCTTGGGCCCCATCCATCCTGGGCCCCATCCATCCCTGGGCCCCATCCTCCTGGGCCCCATCATCCCTGGGCCCCATCCATCCCTGGGCCCCATCCATCCTTGGGCCCCATCCATCCCTGGGCCCCATCCATCCCTGGGCCCCATCCATCCTTGGGCCCCATCCATCCCTGGGCCCCATCCATCCTTGGGCCCCATTACTGAAAACAAACAGGCCTTTAGGATTCCCTATTAATTCCCTACTGAACAGGAATTAGTCTAGCCATCACAATCATCACTGTGTTGTGTGTAAATGTTGTCTTTTGTTGTGTTGTGTTGTAATGGACTGTTCTATGTGCACACTGTAAGGACAATTGAGTTATTATTATAATCATTATGTACTTGTCTGAAAGCAGAGAAAAGGGCAACCAGTGAAGAACAAACACCATTGGAAATACAACCCATATTTATGTTTATTTATTTTCCCATTTGTACTTTTAACTATTTGCACTATTTGCACACTTTTAACTATTTGCACATTGTTACAACACTGTATATCTACATAATATGACATTTGAAATGTCTTTATTCTTTTGGAACTTCTGAGTGTAATGTTTACTGTTCATATTTATTGTTTATTTAACTTTTGTTTATTATCTACTTCACTTGCTTTGGCAATGTTAACATACGTTTCCCATGCCAATAAAGCACTTAAATTGAAAATTGAGAGAGAGAGAGAGAGAGAGAGAGAGAACTTTTTTTTTTTAAATCTTGCTGTTCATGTTTTAAAGTGTTGCTATGCTCAGCTCAGTGTGCACAGCAGTAACATCCACCATGTTGTAGAGACGTGACAGTCCTTAGGCCATCTCTCTCATTATCTCATAAATAGAATGTATTTTTCATAAGTTTCTGTGAATAACAATTTAACATCAACGTCAAGCAAACTTTGTTAATTGCTGTACACCCCCTCTCCTCTCCTCACCTCCTCTCCTCTCCTCTCCTCTCCTCCTCCTCTCCTCTCCTCTCCTCTCCTCTCCTCTCCTCTCCTCTCCTCTCCTCTCCTCTCCTCTCCTCCTCTCCTCTCCTCTCCTCTCCTCTCCATCTCCTCTCCTCTCCTCTCCTCTCCTCTCCTCTCCTCTCCTCTCCCTCTCCCTCTCCTCAGCTATGTACTGCAGTACCCCAGACTCTCCCCAGCAGGGTTTTGTAGTGAGCCAGACAGGAGGGCATCTCAACAGTGTGGTGGCGTTGGGGGCTGTGACCGGGGCTACAGGCTTATTGGAAAAGGCCACAGGTGTCTGTAAGAAGACGGCCTATGGGTATTTTGCCTGGGACTCCGCCGGTACCTGCATGTCAAGGTAAGAGCACTGACACACTGTGTCTACTGGCAGGCTTGCTGGCAGGCAGACATGTATTTTCATTTTTTTTTGTCTAGGCTCTGTCCCAAATGGTACCCTGTTCCCTATATGTACTACCTTTGACCAGAGTCCTATGGTCCGGTCAACTAGTGCATATATAA